TTATAACTGCTCTGTGAGTTCATGAGGAAAAAATGGTACCAGCCACATTAAAGGCCTAGCAAATGTAAAAGCCTGCCACCTTTCATCTCAGAGTTTTAAACTGAGATTATTTCCTGTTCAGATGTTTTAAAGTTCTATTCATTTTTGGTCAGCCTTTAAAACTAACAGAATGAGATGTCTTATGCAGAGTTAGTGATTCTCAGCTATTACCACACCCAACATTAGCTAAATATTTGGAAAAAACATTAATGTGTCACCATTTTTCATAGGCTAAGGTCACCTAGCTGTGCTGCATTTAATTGGGTTGGCTCTAAACATTAATGATTAATCATACTGTCAATTATTGGCTCCAGAGAATTTCAATAAAATCTGACCAGTGATTTATGAGATACAGTATTTTGCTAATGGTGCAGACAACTGAACCCATGCTCACAGACATGGACAAAAACATTATCCCTCTATGGCTTGGCTTGGCTTGAAACACAGCAGTGAAGTTTACCCCATGGGACAGATCTGGTTGGCAAGCAGTAGACTGAGGAAGTCCTCTGGATGGGGGATGAAATGTTTCTCACTTAAAGAAACTGGTCCAGATGACACAATTTAACCTTTTTTGTTGTTATCTACCTGGATGATTGAGCTTACAACAATTATCCCTCTATCTTTGCCAGTGAGTAATACAGATCTAGTATATACTTCATGGGTTGATAAATGTCTGTCTTCTGCCTTTAACATGTATCTAACAACACCTACATTTTTCTATAAACAAAATCTTCTTAAACTTAAACTCAGTGAAAAACAGGAGATGGAAGCAGACAGATAGCATCAAATTACAGACTATCACACCTGAGCCCCATCTATGCAAACATTTACTTGACTGTGCCAGTGCCAGTCGTGATAGGGGAGTTTTTGCTATTGCAAAATGTACATGGTAAACATGGTATCAAACATAAAATAGAACAGGATTATGCTTAGAAAAAAAACAAAAAAAACAACATAATTTGGGATTAACAACAAAAATGGTTAAATCGTGTCTTCTGGACCTGTTTCTGTGAAGAAACGTTTCGTCCCACATCCAGAGGATTGCAAACACAAATGCTACCCTATATTTTTCTACTTCTCGAGGCATGTTTTGCAGTGTGATTGATACTTTAAGTATTTCTTCAAACAGTGTCTCACATCATCCAGGTAGATCATGAAGGTAACATTGCTTCCTACGGTGGCGCTGAGCTCTCCGTTGCTGGTGGACAGTCGAAGGCCTTGGGGCGCTCGGAGATGACACGCTACCCTCTTGGGTGAAAACATGTTTCTTCCTCTCTCCTTACAGTTATTGGATAACACCTTCCGATACCTTTTTAGACATGAAGTAGAAATTACATTATTTTACAACCTGTAGTAATTATTAGAGGAAAATTTATCATGTACACTACATGGCAACCTGATTTAAATACATTCAAAGTAGAAATAATTACTGCACATGTCTGTGTCACCTTTATTCCCAAATTGTTCAGCAGGTTCAGAGACTCTGCAGATCTTTATGAAACATTTCAGCAGCAGCACACAGATTTAACTTGCATAAATAAATTGTCATTTTTTCTATGTGTAAACAGGGTGTTTTCATATTTTTGCTCTGTAATATTAGTCTTAAAGGCAATGGGACACAGCGCCAGTTATATTTTTCAGCTCACTGAGCCTCCTTCGTTAGCCTCAAATGGCAGTAAACTATAATTTTCTGTTTTTATACCAGACAGCTTGTCAAACAAGGTGAGATGGGATGATATTGTTTTTCGAGGGACAAAACATTTGGGCCCACTTACCCGGTGCTGTTAAGAAAGCTTTGGCTTGAGCTGCAGCTTTTAGCCGCACTATTTGGATTAAACCAAAAAGCAGGCGAGCACTTCCCATCCGCCTGGCGTTCCCACCCATAATCACTGCCAAAGGAAATTAAAAGAAAGAGAGGATGGGGAAAAAAAAAAAAAGCAACTCTTCATAAAAAGATAAACACTGCTCCTCAAAATAATCTACAAGCTTTTGTGGCGAGTCAAACGCTCTGCTGTTGGAGCTTCATGGAATATTTTAGGATCATAAATGGAGACATGATAGTCAGACAAGCAAGATCAAACAGAATTTCAAATGGGTGGATAAAATATATTTAAAATTAATTTAGCAGTTCATTATTCATAATTGAACTGAATTCTAATAAGTCACTTGACATTATGCAAATCGCAGCAGCTTGATTCAAAGTTCTAAACTCTTGGCTACATTTATAACACTATGTTTAGGGTCACACTGTTGACAACACACAATACATAAACTGAATATTAAAACACATAAAGTTTTGCAAACCCAAACTATATGCAAAAAGGGCCCAGGATTCCTCGAAAGGAATATGAATAAATGCATATTGTTGATGTCTTGTTTGCCAATAGATGAAACATATATCATAAAATGGGAATAACTTCAAAAGTAAACCAGTTGTAGATGTACGTACAAAGATGATTTTTCATAAAATCTCTCCTTTAGATCATTAGATATTTTTCCCAACACAACACAGCTTTCTCACACAGAGACTGACGGGCAAAAACAGTATTGCCCTTTTGTTGGCAGGTGATAAATACAAGCTCAAAGTTTAACAGCTGTTTAGACAAAAATAAACAACTAATGGATATTTGTAATTCCAAAAGAAGAAAGTTCCATATAATATTGTTATGTCTGGAAACAATTAAGTAGGAATCATCACCATTCAAAATCATAAGCTGTGCAGAGACACGGCTCTGAGGAGTAGATCCTGGAATAATCTTGAGCCAACATGCAACGATTGCCAGGCCTGCGCTTCATATAGATCTGCTTCTCACCCATCACACACAGCTCTCCCTATCAAACAAAGACAGACACGACTGAGTGTTTTTGCTGGCCTGGCAGAAACTCTGAAAATACTTTGTTCAAGAAAAACACACACACTAAAAAACAAAACAATGAATGTCCTTGTTACCTTGTTGTGTAGATACCATGTCTGATAATCTCCATCCATGCATCTCCTGCTAAAGAGCCCCATGTAGTCAATCTTGATCAGTTGCCACTCTGACCGATGGCTGAAGTGTCCAAAGAAGCTGAGAGATGAAAAAAAAAAGCTGAAATCATCTTGAGATGCAGCTTTTCTGCCATATGTGCCTGATTTGCTGCAACTGCAGTTGTAAAATTTATCACAAACAAAAAATCTTTATAATAATAAAACCATGACCAGTGGCAGGGAGTGGAATTGATCATTTCAGTGCAGTGCAATAATCTGCTTGCATTCATGTTCTCACATTTACCATTTGCCTACAAAATGTTGTTTACATACATAAAGCCTTCTGACCACCCTGCAGAATTACAACCTGATTGTGTATAGAACCCACCAAAGGCGTCAAAAGTCCCTTTCATAGCAGTTCAGACTTATTTTTTCAGCTCAAAGGACAGCTACAAAACATACAAGTGGTTTTATAGTGTGTCTGATCCACAGATGTTTCCAGAATCAGATAATCAAGAGAAATCCCTTTGGACCTCCCTTCTCTTACATTGAGAAAGGAGCCACTTCTTGTGGCCTGATATCTTCCTGTGTATCTTTGCTTACGTGATGATGTGATTGTCAGATTCTGGCTCCATTAAAACTCCGTCCACAAACAGAGGTGCCAAGGAGAAGCTGTGGCGATCCCATTTTTTCCCCTCATCTAGACTGATCCTGCAAGAAGAAGACAACAGCCTGTCAGTGCATTAAAATCTGATGTTTATCTCTCTGTAGTAGATAAATGCATTATTTTTTTATTGAGCATACCGTCCTGAATACAACCTGTACGCAGGTGAAGCTATGAAAAAAGGCAAAATGAAACATGAAGAAAGATTTGAGGTCGTTTAGCTTTTGCCTCGTTTGAAAAATGAAGCGTGTTGGATTCTCTTCACTTGAAAATTTATCTTGACGGCGGGCTGAACAATGGAACAAATGTTCCTCAGCCCAGGTAAAATCCTGAAGGTGACAAAATATCAGAAGGAAGGGTATGACTCAGGCTCTAACATTAGAAATAGATTTGGGGGGTTTCAAATCACCTTTCTTGGAGCTTAATCACTTTTGACAGGGTTGTAGTGTGCAGGGACATCAAAGTAGATAGTGTTACAAAGCTTCCACAATGAGAGACTTATGAGGGCATTTTGAGACTCATATTTCCGCCCAGCTCTACTTCTCATTTACATAAAAGCACTCAAACCTTCATATCCAACCAAGAGTACAAAGCTGTAACACACTCTCTCCTGTTGGAAATGACAGTTCTGAAGCCGCGGTGCCGATACAATAATCACATAAACTTGGCCCATCAGCAATTCAAAACATTAAATGTAATCATATTCTGCAATGACACCCCCCCCCACCCCACCCCCTTCTCCCCCAAAACAAAATTATATCCAGGTAATTTTCCACTCCAGCTCCAACACCTACAGTTCCTACCTCCAGCGCACTTCTTTTGACGACAAGCTGCACCTACCATAGGTGTCGAATCGGGGTTGGTGCATGTAGAACCGCAAGCAAAGCCCCCCCATTGTCAAGAAACCAAACATTGTGCTCTTCATCAAAAATCTGAAATGGTAAAAAAAAAAAAAAAAAAAAAGAGTTCATCTTATTGAAACCTGTTTGATTTGAAAACGTCATTTCAACATAGTGTACATAGATGGCTCTTACCTGTCTCCAACTATTTCCTGCATCAGATGTCATAAACATCCCAAGGTTGCTGGAGGACAGCTCAGTTCCAATAGTCCCTGAGCACAAAATGATTTTTAACCGGAGAGTATTTACATAGCAAAAACCCGATATTGCATTTTCTGCGTATGCACAATCAGCTGATAAAAATCATTAATAAGTAAATCTATGCATGGCCTCATTTTTTTTTCACCGGAGGACACTTTTTTTTGTGTATCTGCAACCCAATCATCTCCAGTAAAAGCTGGGATTTAGAAGTTGAAGTTTCTGCATGAGATTTCCACAATGACAGAAAGAGGACAACATGCCATTTATTTGGAACATCTGTGCTGCCGCAATGCATTCACATGAGAAACAAGACATGTTTAAAGTCTCACTGCTTCAAATGCACATCTTTGAAGCAACCGTACCTGTTGCTATGATGATTCCTGGTACGGACTTTTTGCTGGTGATGGGTCCGGACGTATAGGGATTCTCTGACATCTCCAGATGAAGATGCAGTGAACAAAATGGCTGTCAACAACACAAAACAGCACACAAGCACGTTGAGGCACAGTGGATCTAGATCTTAACAGAGGCAAGAGCAATTAGCGTTCTTTTCTTTCTATTCTTCCCAGCAATGGAAAACTGCGAACATTTTCAGAGGCCATTTCCAAAACAAAGATACGTTGATGCTCTCATCTCTCTCTGCCAGAAAAAAACCAGGAAATAGCTGAGAGGACACGAAGGGCATTCTAATTGTTCCATTCCAAAGCAAACAAGGCATGTAATTAAAATTCCCCAAGATGCACTGATAAAACTGGCAAAATTGATTCAAATCATTTCACTCATCTCCCTGACTGAAGCAAACTGAAAAAAATAAAAACATCAATACAGCTTTTGAAAGAGCTGACGGTAGAGGGGTGAGGTGGGGTTCGGGAGGCAGACAGAAGCAGATTGGTAATTTTTTACAACACAATGAAAGACTATAAACTGCTATTAACCAAATAGTATACATTGTCTGACTCTAAAGGACATGCTGGCTAGATTAGGTTCAATCATATTGGCTGCATAACAACACACGGCCTTAATGTAATTCTGTGTAACCTAACATTCATTAGTCGGGCGTGACTACAGGTAGTAAATTGAAATCACAAAGGTTAATGGAAAGTCAGGACCCCTGAAACCAAATGCAATGACACTTTGTGACTTACATTGATGATAAGGACATTTCAGCAGAGAATCTCCTTGTCCATTTAGGGAACCAAAAAAAAAAAACATGGTGATGATGAAGTTGGCACCTGACCATGTACAAATATGGAACTAAATAAAAGAAAAATAAAATAAAAACATCCCAAGAGCAACTGATGCAGTTGAAATTTTTGACGAATGAAGCATTTTCTCAGCATCATTCTGCTCCAAAGCTCACCAGTATGCAGTGAAGGTTGTTTCCAGCCACGTCGGTGGCAGGTGCTGGCAGCAGAGCCCAGGTTTGTCCCTTGTTGTAAGTGATGAAAGTCTTAATATGATTATCCACCAGTTTGTTAGCAAAGTACATGCCATTTATCCCTTCAACCTACAAATCAAGAATGTAAAAGCAAGCATACAGAATTCAGAAATGCAAGAAAACATCCTGCTTTCAAAAATTAGCATTTAATGGAAACATTTCCTCAAAGCACAAACTTAAAGTGCAGTTTTTGAAGGGTTTCAGACTGTTTGTGCATCATGCATCAGATGGTTGAAATAAATATATAAATGTAAATTTCACTCTGAAAACAAAATATGCTGAAAGCCTTAAAACATGTAAAAGCAAATAATCTATGGTGTTGGATAGACATTATACATAACACACACGGTGCCTTTTTGTATTTTATGATTGTTTCTTAAATAATTGAAATAAATGTAATTTCATTTGAAAAAATACAGACATGTAGAAAGTGAATTCACCATTAAAAAAAAAAAACACAAAAGTCAGTATCTACAAATTTATCTACAAGTGAATGAGCCACTTGAAAAATTCAGACAGTAAAAATACAAATAATAATTTTCAATCACTACTTCGTAAACAAACTGATATCTTACATGACTGTGTTGTAAGTGAAGGAGAAGTTAGTGGTATAGAAACAGCATTAGTCCTTGAACAAAGCTGACAACAAACCTTATAAAAGTCAACCAGTAGGTTACCAGCAGGCCCTCTGCTGGTTCTCAGATTCTCTAATGAAAGGATAAAGTAGACCCCGGGGGAGTCGGAGATATACAAGCTGTATGTGTTGTTCTGATTCCACTCTTGGACGGCAGCGAATACCTGCTTCTCATCTGTGCTGATGATATGCATGTCCTGAAGCAGGAGCCAGACAGACAGGCACAAACAAGGAATCACAAAAGAGATGCAACAATAAGTAATCTGCTCTTTTTTAAATTTATTTAAGTGGCATTTATTCACAAATGTGGATTGTAGCTTGTCCTCTACTAAACTAGGCAAAACTAAAACCAAGAAGTGTCTGTTGCTTACCTTTGGCAAACAGTATTTTGGTAACTGCATCTGTTTGAAGGGTTCTCTCATATACGACACAAAGTAGCTGGCTCGACCTGACTTGGTTACCTTGAAAATAAAATAATTTAAAAAAAAAACACATGTTGATCTTTATTTTAGTTTGACTGTTGATGAAGTGCTTTTGTTAAAAAAGCTCAGATTAACAACACAATATATATTTTTTTCTCTTCAGTAAAAGAAAAAAAAAAACAACCTTGTCCAGTACAAGAGTTTAAAAAGTAAAGCTAGGGCTAATTGAAATATACTGTGTCATGCAGTTTGGTTCAGTTTATAACGGACTGTAAAGAGAAACCACCAATAAAGCAAGACACTGGTGTAAGTATTCACTGTACATAAGACAGATCCAGTTCTCGCATGAAAATGTGTGCCTATTGTATTTTTAATTTCAATCCAGACAACAGAGAACTAGCTCTTATACCAAACTAGTCCTGACTGGAATCCATCAAGCCAAGATATCTGGCTGGCCTAGACTTCCTAGGAAATAACACCTGCTGCCTTCCATGCCAGAGTTTCAAACCAAGATTGTCTTATGATGAGAAGAGACACAGTTATACCCATTTTGCTCAAACCATATCTTCTTCTTCTTCTATTGGCTATTCCCTTTGAAGAGGTCACAATGATGAGTCAGCCTTCACCATCTAACTCTGTCCTCACTCCAACTACTTCCATGTCCTCGCCAACTGCATCCATATATCTCCTCTTTGGCTTTCCTTTTTTTTCCAGGCAGCTGCATTTCTAACATCCTTCTACCAGTATAGCCACTGTCCCTCCTCTGGACATGTCCCAACCATGTCAGTCTGGCCTCTCTAACTTTACCTCTCAGTTGTTCAACCTGTGCTGTACCTCTGATTATCTCAGTTTTAATCTTATCCATCCTTGTCACTCCTGAGAACCTTAGCATCTTCATTTCTGCCACTTCCAGTTCTTTCTCCTGTCTTTTTGTCATTGCCATTGTCTCCAGACCATACAATATAGCTGGTCTCACCACAGACTTGGAAATATTTCCTTTAACATTTGCTGCCTCCCATTTGTCCAAAATCACTTCCAGAACTTTTCTCCATTCACTCCAACCTGCCTGGACTCATTTTTTTCTCATCTGTTTACCACACTCTGTTTTTCTGCTCTCTTTACTCTTAGTCCTTGTAAAGTCCTGCGTTTTTGTGACCTCTGCTCCTTGTAGCCTCACTGTTCCACCAGGCTCCCTCTCATTCACACACATGTACTCTGTCTTATTACGGCTGACTTTCATTCCTCTTCTTTCAATTGCATACTTCCACCTCTCCCAGTTGTCTTCCCTGTTCTCACCACAATTCACAATGTCATTTACAAACATCATAGTCCATGGAGATTCCTGCTTGACCTCATCTGTTACTCGGTCCATCACCAGAGCAAACAAGAAGGGGCTCAGAGCCGATCCTTGATGCAATCCCACCTCAAACATAAAGCTATCTGTCACTCCTACAGCACATCTCACCACTGTCCTCCTGTCCTCATACATGTCCTGTACCAGTCTAACATACTTCTCTGCCACTCCAGATTTCCTCATGCAATACCACACCTCCTCCGTCAACACCCTGTCATATGCTTTTTCTAAATCAACAAAGATGCAACAAAGTTCTTTCTGAGCCTCTCTGTACTTCTTCATCAGCATCCTCCGAGCAAAGATGGAATCTGTGGTGCTTTTCCTCAGCATGAAACCATACTGCTGCTCACAAATAATCAATTCTCGTCTAAGCCTAGTTCTCTCCTAAATTGTGTGACTCATCAGCTTAGTTCCCCTGTAGTTGCTACATCTCTGTAGATCACTCTTGTTCTTAAAAATGGGCACCAGCACTTTTCTTCTTCATTCCTCAAGCATTTTCTCCCTTTCAAAAATGCTATTGAATAAATTTGTCAAAAACCTTACAGCCATCTCTCCAAGACATTTCCAAACCTCCATAGGCATGTCATCAGGTCCTTATGCTTTTTCATTCTAAAGTTCAAACTTCATCCTCACTAATCTTTTCCACTTCCTGGACCACAGTTTCTATGATCTCTTTCATTTGGTCAAACCCTGTAAATTTTGTTGTTTGCTGTCCTATGCAAGATCATGAGAGCTCTGTTAGCTCTCAGAGTTCGTGTTGAGAATGAGCCTCAACTAAAACTTTATCAGATTTAGGTTAATATTTGTAAAAATTACTGAGTTGTAGCCATTTCTTTGTTTTCTAAGGTCAATTAATTACAGTGACCATCTCAAATTGGGTTGACTCAAAAAGGTAATTACTTTGTAGTTGTATATGTACTTTACTTTTGTATATGTACTTTCTTTACTTTCTGAGATTTTATTAAAACTGAACAAGTAGTTGCACCTCAAATCTAACAGAACCATTGTCCACTGTGTATTGCTCAGATTATTGCACATGAATCTTAGGTATTACCACAATTAGTTGAATATCTGTAAAACTGGATGACTTGCAGCAATTATTTTATTTGCTAAGTTTACTTAGTTGTGGCAGCCATCTTGAAATGGGTTGACAGTTTTTGCTTTGCCTCCAACGATTACTTACTGAGAATTTCATTAAAAGCTGTGGTTCATAAGATAAACTGATAATGTGCTAGATAAACAAACATTAACAAACAAGGGTAAAAACATAATCACCCTTTTGCAGGCCGTCATAAGCAACAACAGATGTTTTCTAACTTTGGCTGTATGTTTTGAGCTTCTTTCAATCTGCAGATAAATTTAAGACTGATACGAAGTCTTTATAATTGTATGACAAGATGAATAATTGTTTGAAAATTTCCATGTGCCAAAACTTTTACACTGTAATAAATGAAAATTATTTATTAAGTGGGATGTCACTCAGTTGTGAAAGGAAACATCTCCTGAAAGACGTGCATGAATTCACAATGCTTGACTGACTTGATAAAACAGTTGCAGCTATACTCTGCTTCCCACAGTGTTGAAGCCTAAATGAAATTACAAGAACGATAGATCTTAATATTACTACCTCAATTAGTCCAAAACCAAGTCATTGAAAATTACGTTGGCTTTATCTACCGTGCGTCTCAAAGATCTTAATGCACTACCACTATCCCATCCACTTACAGGCAGGGCAACAGTACTTGATTGCTTATTTTCTAATCAACTAGAAAGATGGTGTTTGTCCCTGAACACACTACATTAGGGCTCTAATGGAATAATCTATCGAAAATCAATGAGCTGCATTTTCCCAGGCCACATTTTTGAGGATGTTGCACTTGGCTGTTCCTTCTCTCCCTGGAGACTTTGGGGGTGTTGAAGACTGCTTATTTCGTTGTAGCCGAATCGATAACCTCATTACTCTTTGTCAAGTTAAATCCAACTGCCCTGAGCAAGGAAAGTCACAAGAAAGTCATCTGTGCCACCACAGCTCAGTGCAGACACTCTCTCTGTGATTGTCCAGTTTTATTCACCGGCGTCTTCCTCATGCCTCTCTCTGCCCTGACGGTAAATCTCATCTTGGCCAAATGCAATTTGAACTTTTACTGAATCGCTATTTCTGCTCAGACTTTTTTTTTTTCAAACCATCAAATTACATCTTAAATTGTAACTATTCCATTTAGGACTGGCAATTTCGTGTGCAGAAAAAAAAAATGACAGTTACTACTACCTAAAGATAAAAAAGGAGTATAATAAATTAAAAAAGTAAAGGCTTAGCATCCCATGGAGGAATGTATTTTGTTCACGACCTTATATTTCAAAGTTCTAAGATATGATGAGAAAGAACAACATTACAGCCATTTGGATGAGGCATAGTAAATAAAGTATTGCACAATCTCATGCAATAATGCAAGCTCTTGCAAGATTTGTTAGCGCTCCAAGTATGTGATCAGGACTACTCTCAGCTACAACAGTATCAAACCATGTCATGTTATTGACACAGTTGATTGAGTAGTGGCTGTTAATGAGTTGGCTATGGTCAATTAACTGTGGTAGCCATTTTGAATCAGGTTTGCACCAAAAGTTAATCAGTTGTAGATGAGCAACCATTGATTACTCTCCGAGTTTCATTAGACTGTCCATTGGTTCATGAGGTATTTTGCAAATGAGGTTAACAAACACACACACACACACACATGCACAGAGAGAGAGAGAGAGAGAGAGAGAGACTTGGGCAAATACATTGTTGCCCTTTTACATTTGGTGGCAGGTGATATTAAACATTAAGCACATGCAGTCTGTATAAACTGCATCAATTTGATTTTTATTTCCCGAAATTTTAAATGAGAGTCCAACAAGAATGACCAAAAATCTTAGGTCCATTTATTTTTATTTCCTTGTTTTTATTTAACCAAGCATATTCCGTTGAGATCGCAAATTTCTATTGCAAGGGAGGCCTGGGTCTGAAGGCAGCTCATGTGCAAGCTTTTAAGACTGTGGGAGGAAACCAGACATGAGGAGAACATTTAAATTCCAGAAAGACCCCAGGTCCACACTGGGGATAGAACCGAGGACATTTTTTCTGCGAAGCAATGGTGCTAACCATTAAACTGTCGTGGCCCAACTAACAAATAGAAAATTATGTACCATGGGCACAAATCAATGACAGTAGAGGCCATTTGAAAATTAAATTTCTAATAATGACCCTGACGGTGACTGTCTTAATTGGAGTCAAAGTCAGAGTGAATGATACTGAGGACATTGACCTGACCATTCATTGATCCTTCACCATGTTCTCATGGTGAACAAACACATTTTCCAGGTATGGATTATGTTCATGCAGAAAGTCATTCGCTAAGCTTGCCTTGACATGAACGAGATGAAGCATAATCAAAACACACACCAGGCCAGTGGGGAACAGGTGCATTGGGAAAAGCCATTATGTGGGATTTGATGGAAGAGCATAAATTGGTTTCACAACAGAGCAAAATAAAAACAAAAAAGAAAGTAAGAAAAGGGAAAATCAAAGTTCACATGGAGCGTAACCTGTTAGTAAAAAGATGAAGGCAAGTGGTTTACTTTGATGAAGAAACAAAACAGGTGATTACATATACCTGTGTAAAAACATATTCATCCTGCACAACAAGGGAGTTGGTGTCCACATGTCCAGGAAAGAGGTACTGTCTGTTTCCCTCTGTGCATTTCTGGGCTCTGCACTTCACATATTGAGCACCTGAAAGGAGAAAGAAATGATCAGAAATAATTTTAAACTATTTACATTCTAAGTATGGATCCTTCCATTGTGTAAATCAACACAAGACTCTCGGATTTGGAACTAATTTACTACTTGTAGAATGCTCACCCTTAGATAATTGGCACTTTTCAAATATCAGTTGTGCTTTATGACTAGCACAAAATGCACATGAAAACCAGTTTGATGTTGTTGCCAAAAGTTCAACAGGTCGTGTATCCTTGTCTTTAGGGTCCTTTGTTTTTCCAAAGGTGCTTCTTAAATGTATTTTGTTCAGCAAACTTAGACTTCATATTTAAACATTTGCCTTGTACAGACAGTTTGATGTTTTTGATGTATCCAACAATGTTGAGTCAGGTCATCTGGACGGTTTCTTTTGTTGCTCAGACGTTTCATCCTTCATTCAAAGGACTTCTTTATTCTGAGGAGCCACCAACAAACCGAATCCCACAAGCAACACATTCCCATAGTGGATGTCTCAGCAAAAATAGAAACTGCCCAGATGACCTGAATGTTGGATTTTTCCATGGATTATTGAGCATGAACTTTGGTGTTTTTGATGTATATTAAACTATTTTCCAAAGACAGTTCTGACCAGAAAAATCAACACTCTTTTGGTTTGCCATAAAAACAGTTTCATGTTTGCTTTAGCAAAAATTACATGCTCATTTACAAATTTATTTCCATTCAAGAGAAGTACGCATAATCCCCACCCCGACACGATGTAGGAAACACCTGTAATTGATTAGACGGAATTTGCTGCTCTGTTTAAAAAAGAGAAGCTGAAGTTTGTCTATGAAACACTGGGGACAGATTAAAGACAGGAAACATCCATCAGCCCTCTAAAACTTGCAGTTTTTTTTTCAGGAGACACCTATTCTGCTTTACTAGACTTTGGGGACCAATCTGAGCAGCAGAACAGGTCTCATCTTGCCCATGACCTCTCTCTAAATGAGAGCCAAGGGGTCCTGTGGGTCTTGCTACAGCAGCAGACAGAATTTTAGCACTCACGGCCTTTTGTGATGCGTGTCTCAATGTGGACCACATCTGATTCTCTGTCCAGCCCCATTACCGCCCTTGAAAAAATGGGAAGAGGAGACAGAGGGGAGCAGAAACAGGGTTAGTGGATACGAAACGGAGAGATGAGAATTAGGAAAAAAGAAAAGTATGTTTGGTCGGGCGTAGCAGCTGTAGATGGACTTCTCTTTGGTGAAAAAGCCACAGCGATATATTTTTTGTCTGCTGTAAATCACTCAGAGTTGAAATTGCACCACCACTGGCAATTAATCTCAATTAACCAATGCATTAACAACAACAGCCACTGTTCCAATAAATATTTACCATAGAGAATGTGTGCTGTTATGAAATTGCAGGCAGCTGCAACAGATTTGGAAAAAAAAAATAACTTTTGACATAATATGCATGATAGAATAAAACTCAAGAGCACAAATAATGCATTGTTTCAAGCGCTTCTATACCCACTGAGCTCCTTTAATTTGTGAAACATCTGACTGTTCACACATATGGAGAGAATGTCCTCCAACCAATGTCCTTTATTTCCTAAAAAAAAAAAAAATAAAAAAAATAAATGCACACTTGGTTGGACACATCCTTTGACCAGCAGGGTAAACGGATTCACATCAATATTCACTGCTTTGTGCCTGTGCACTAAAGATTCCTAAATGGCTGCAACAACAACAAAACAACAACATGTTGTGTTTGTGCTGCAGAAAAGAAAGCACATTATTATAGCAAGTCTACGTGAGGTGGATTTAATCAGTTTGGTGCTTGACTGCTATGGTGGAAATCTGTTTTTGACAAGAGGTTGCTGGATTCTTCCCATAGACCAGCGGTGTCAAACTCAGTTACGAAAGGGGCCAAAATTAAATCTTATCTAGGACAAATTTCAGTCGCTGCATTAACTCCAGTCAGATATCCGACATCTTCTCTTGGTTGGAGGTTCCACAACTAGAGTTGTCTTATTTGACGTGCTTTCCTGCCTTTTCCACATTAAAATCAAAGATTATAAAATTTTTTAAACAATTTGCTTGGTTTCGACGTTGGCCAACTGTTGAGAAGTCTGCACAAAATAAAGTATGCTCCATTTTTTTTTTTTAGTAAAATGAGAAGCAATAAAATATTTTACTTTTAAAACAGAATCTTTGGGGCCATATTAAATGTTAACAAGAGCCATATTTGTCCCCCGGGCCTTGGATTTGACATGTGTCATAGACTGATACTGTGCATCATCATTATGCAAATCACAATCAATCAGAACACAAAACAAGGTAAAAAATAAATAAGTAATAGAGTTCACATAGTTATACCAGTAGAATCTGCCTGGCATCACGTTGTCATGAACAAGTTGCCATTTCCTCCCAAAGTCCATTGAACTGTACACCTGCAAAACAAAATTTCACCAACTTTTATAGTCTGGATATTTGTAGTGATGGTCTATCAAATAGTTATCAATAGTTAGTAACTGATCAGTCATGACATGGATCATAAACCACAAAGAAAAGGGCAGAAGTCTTCTTCCAGGCTAGGCTAATAGCTAATTGAGTGAGGGCCTGTTTTATATTGTATTTTAGCATATAAAGTTACTATTTCTCAGAAATGTTATACGGGTGTAAAAGATCACTACATGAGTTAATATTAAACTTCTATAATTCTGCATGACTTATTATTTAATTTGTTACAGTTTCTCAACCAAACACTGTTGCCATGGATATTTAGGTGAGTTGAGCAATCGTAATATAACTGTTTTTTTGGCTGTTTCCTTTTAATTATCCCTTTAATTATCATTTTGTTTTCAATTGTAAAAAAATAAATAAATAATAATAACAAAAACAATAAAAATTGTATGCATAATTTGTGATTGTTTAATGTCATTGTTGTCCACTGTTGTCATCCCTCTTTGTTAAAATCCATGTCTCTCTTGTAAATGAGTCCTCGTGGCTCATTGGGACTAACCTGGTTAAATAAAGGTTGAATGGACCAGGTTTGTTCAGTCAGGGTCACTATAATGCATGATTTAGAGGTTTCTGCACACCAACATGTCTGATTTAAAATAATTGGTAATTAATAGGCTTCTGCACAACATGACGGGTTAATTCAATCATTGAATCTGATGTGATGGAACAGGAAAACTAGAAAAAATGCAGGATAGTAGCCTTTGAGGTCAATAATTGGACACTTCTGGCATATGTTGGTGTCCTAATGCTGCTGAATGTATCAGTCCGCCTGGAGTCAAGTTTGTAAATGAGTCCCTGAGGCTAACTTGTATAAATAAAGGTTGAATGAATGAAAAGTAAATTTTTGACTGAATAAATGTGGTGCTTAGGTAGACTGATACATTCAGCAGCCTCAGCAGCACTGATACGTTATAAAGGGTCTATGCTCAGCAAACATACATTTGCATAGTAACACAATGTTTGAGAAAACAGCAAGAAGCAGTGTCGAGCAAAACTGTAGAGGTTTAATATTACTTAATGCAGCTTTTTTTTTATGCTAGTGTGGCATTGTTGAAGAGTTGTTTTTTTAAAAATGGATCTTCATAGCCATTAGTCTGGAGACAAACTTCTGCCCTTTTCTTCACACTCAAGGTAATGTCAACTATTTGACTGATCACCACTTCAAATATGACCAGCCTATTTCTTTAAGGGTTTTGGATAAATATGTTAGTTAACGAGCAGTGCAACAATCATTCATTTCACAGCAGAATGACTTGAAAATAAATTTTAATGTATTGTTCCATGCTTTGTTACTTTAGATTTTTATTTCAAGGTAAAAGTTGACTGCGGATTCAATAAGAAACTACCTTGTTGTCATGACTGTAAGCCAGAATCCAGTTCTCCTGTGTCGGGTGGAATAGGAGGCTCAGGATGTTGAAGTTAATGGGATATTTCTCGAAGCTTGCCCCTTCATCTGAACTGATGAGAACAGCACTCTCTACCTCTGGGTCACTAAGCATCATTATCTAAAGCATAGATGGCCACACGAGGGATATATAAGAAGGAGAAAGAGACAGAAAAACCTTCATTTGGCAGTAATTTTGAGACATTTCAGTTTGATGTCAGGACTTGGCTTATATAGGAACAGAGAGAGATGAAAGTCAAAAGAAAAGACTGACCTTCTGTTTGTTGGTAGGGCAGACATAGAGGTAGCTTAAAACTGTCCTTGAACCCACTTTGTCATTGAGTTTGGTGTAGGTGCTGCCATAATCAGTGGATCTGGACACAAACAAATAACATCCAGTGTTTTGGAAATAAATAAATTTAAAAAAATCTGTTCGAGCACTATTGCAAAGATGTGGCATGTTTGGTCTATTATCTGTTCAACACATTCACCCAAAGAAGACTGCCTCTTCAGATCATGGCATATGTTTAGAGACTGATTTCTTACCATTTAGCCAATGTTTTACTTCTGAGAATTAAAAAAAAGCAACTTACAGTCTACTTTCATTTTTATCATCACTGTTTTGGTTAGAAATTATCAGATTTTCAGTCATTATAATGAAAATTATTGTATAATGAGGAATAGAATGGAATAGCAAGAGGCTGCAGAAAAAAATAACATAATTTAAAGTAGTCAATGTAGAAGAGCACCTTTTCTGCTAACACACACTTTTTACAAACCACAATTGCTTTACCTGTTGGTAATTAATGTTTGATGAGCCTTCATTTTGTTTGTTCACATATTTGACCCAAATTAGCTAAAGCATTTTTGAAAGTGCCCCTATTTGCAGCAAGTTTTCTAAATATCTAGTGATATGCTGATTTGCCTACATGTGCCATTCATAAATAAAGGATGTTTTTGTTGAGTGGAAATAACACAGAAATATAATGAAATTTATTTAATTACATATGGCCTTAGCTTAATCAAAAATCCTTAATATTTATCATAATAGTGTCAACTTCCAATACCATTTGAAAAATTGATGTGCTTTGAAGAAAATGAGTAAAATTGAGAAAAAAGTGCATGGGAGCCAGACCCTATACAATTTATATTTGGATCTTGTTCATGGCATTGTTTGGCTCATAATAGTAACAATATATTCTATAGAAAGTGCACAATGATTTACTTGGTAATTTACTTACATATTCATTAGTTTGCATTAAATGATCTGTGCAGTGCTGGAACACATACTAAAGTGATGACCTTTGACTATATGGAATGGTAAAATGGACTGTACTTATATAGCGCCTTTCTTTCTTATCAAGATACTCAAAGCGCTTTACACTACAATCTCTGCCCTCATTTATTCATTCACAGCGCTCTACTAGATCTATACAGAGAATAATCAGTGCTTTATCACATTCATACAGTGATGGGACACGCATCAGAGGCAATGAGGGGTTCAGTGTCTTGCTCAGGGACACTTCGGCATGTGACTGCTGATGGACTCAAACCCCCAACTCTTGCATTGAAGGACGACTGCTCTAATCACTCATATACAGCCACCCCAATGGAAAAAAATAATTTATGGGAAATAAATAGTATAATACAAATGTATGAAAAGCTATGAAATTACACTCAAATGCATAAATGGATAGCACCAGCAGATGGAGCGAAAGCAGAAAACTGTTTAAAAGTAAACTAAAAGTAACTGTTTAAAACGTGTGAGAGGTGGGGTACACCCTGGACAGGTCACACTCAAGTCCATCACATAGAGACAAACGAGACACCATTCACTCTCTCACTCACACCTAGGGACAATTTAGAGTTACCAATCAGCCTAACATGCATGTTTTTGGTCTGTGGGAGGAAACTGGAGTTTTCTGCGGGATCAATAAAGTTCTATCTTATCTTTATCTTACCCGAGAAAAACCCACGCATGGATGGAGAGAGCATGCAAACTCCACCCAGAAAGGTCCACGGCTGGAATTTGAACCGGTGACCTTCTCACTGAGAGGCAGCACCTCTATCAACTGCACCACCATGCCGCCCTGGGAGAAATCAAACTGAATACATTTAGAAATGGGACAGCCTAGGTCGAGCAGTTTGGAGACAAAGTTGGAGAGGCTAGTCTGAGACAGTCTGAACATGTGTGGAGGGAGGGATAGTGGACATGTTGGAAAAAGGATGTTGAATATGGAGATGCCCAACAGGGGAGGAAAAGAGAAAGACCATAGAGAAGGTTGTTGTGACAACAAAAGATGCCAGGGATTTGGCAAATGATTTGCCAAATTTGATTTGCAACAGCCGTCCATGTACGGGCCAAAAATGGGCGACTGTGGCTGAGTGGTTAGAACATTTGTCCTCCAATGCAAGAGTTGTGGGTTCGAATCCACCAGCAGTCACATGCCTAAGTGTCCTTGGGCAAGACACTGAATCCTTCATTGCCTCCGATGTGTGTCCCATCGGTGTCTGAATGTGATAAAGCACTGATTATTATTTGTAGAGATCTAGTAGAGTGCTGTATGAATGGGTACATGAGGGCACAGATTGTGGTGTAAAGAGCTTTGAGTGTCTTGATAAAATAAAAATGTGCTATATAAGTACAGTCCATTTACTATTTGTTATTCCAAACCCAATCAATTCAAACTCTGCAGATGCAAAAATAGATTTTTTTTGTTTTATGCCATTTATACAGTTAAACAATTTGAAGTTACATCTGAATTACAATATCACTCTGTGCTATGCACAAATGCTTCAATCGAGACGTTTTTAGTAGACTGAAAATTGTCTCAAGGAGTTTTACAGTCTCTTTATATTAGGTGATTTTTGTTTTTAACTAATGCCAACATAGCATTTTTATTATCAGTATTTTCAGCTGATTTCAATGTTGAGTTTGATCCAAATTTAATCGATTTTCTTTTCAAGAGGGAATTATGGCATAAATAAACACAATTTCAAGTAAATACAATAAACAGTAAAACAGGAAATTATCATGTAAATATAAAAATATAAATGTAGGCAGTGCACCCCAGTTCTTAGCCTCATCAATAAAAATGCCTGTATAAAAATAAAACAAATAATCTGTTGCTGCATTTAAAGATGCTAGTGCTTCACCAAACTGCCACTCACGACAAGGACAGACGTGTTTGTCATTCATGTCTCCATATTTCTCCTCACCTGGGTGCCTCCAAATGTAATTTCACAGCATAATTGGATGGGAACCCACAGTCTGCTATCATTGTCAATGCATTAACTTGAGCTGTCCATTTCCTGCCGGCACTGTTTCCACAAACTTACCACTGAAAACACTGGAGATTAAATGCTCTTTTCCAGGGGTATTTCTGTCTTTGACTATAAAAGTGGTAGACAGACTCTTAAATGATGTTATTACATTTCATCTCTGAACACAAAGGGACGCCGTGCGTGTTTAGACATCTCATGCAAATCACCCATTGATCCACACTGCGTTTTGCCACCAACTGAGCCCCGCAGCTGTGGGCATAAATCATTTATTGTGTTATCACAGAAATCATTTGCTCTCTTTCCTTTTCATAACATTCAGATTGCTGTTTTACTAATGCCCATACTAAGAGCCTTCGTGACCCCCCGAGGTACTCTAATTTACGTGTAGGCTATTGTTAAGCAGACACCTTGATGATGGAATACCTCCTGTACACAATATGGAATTTCAAAGTGAGTCAAGTCGAGTGTAAATCTTAGCGACGCCTCTGGAGAAACAGATATTAATTTGAAACTCTATGCTTGGTGAACTGATGGTCTCTTTTTCATGTGTATTTCAGGATGAAATGAGTTCTCCGTAGGCACTCTGAGAGGTGAGAGAAGGAAAATCAAAGACAGTATTGGATTTTGCGGCATAATCCTTTATGAATTCTATTCTTATTTATGACCTGACAGGCCACTGTAACTCACCTCTCAATACGGACCGAATAAAATTACTATGACTATTGCATGTCAACTGCTACTGAAACAAAAGGTTACAGATGACTATCAATCAAAAACACCACCAGAAAGTTTCTAGGTCAGAGGAAAGCCACAAATCCAAACAAAGAAGACCTCAGGTCAGTCATCCGGTGTACCGTTCATACCCTTCAAAAAAATTTTCCTTTCTGATGATGGACAGAAAGTAGGGTCTCTTCTAAAAGGTTGCCGCAGAGTTACTTGTGTTATTTATGGGACTGCAGGAAGTAGAGAGGAGGATGGTTCAATCTGAACGTTTTATTAAAACATACTTCACACCGACTCGCTGTGAGACGTGATTGTTCATATCCCGGCAAAGGAGAGCACGATAAATCTCACTTACAGTGTACTGCGCACTCTGTGAATACATTATTCCTGTTGTTTTGAGGCTGACGCCCTAACCTTTATATTTAGACTGAAACACAATGAAAGGGCTGTGACTAAACACGAGGAAATCTTACCTCCAAAGTGAGCTCTCTGTAACGGCGCCCAGGTTGAAGTCATACAGCTTAGTCAAGATCAGGATCACCTGAAACGTTAACAGCAAAACAAACAGGTGTTTAATTGCACGTTGTGGTCTATATGAAGACCTCGACATTTGAGCATCAGCAACACATTTTCTGTCTCCACCTAATGATGGAGAATAAATAACCTCAGTACATTTCTGTACTAATAAATATCAGCCTCACAGAAGTTAGCTCATTGACTAGAAATTGTCATGTTGTCAGGATTTATCAGTCTAAAGGTAGCGGGACTTTAAAAAAGGGAAGAAAAATCTGTGTGCGTTGTCAGGAGTTGTCTCTGTATCTCATGTGGAATGATACCCTCCTGACAGCAAAATCTGAACATAATTGTTCAGTGAATAATAAAAGGAAATGCACTCATTGGCTCCACTGTGTCTCCCTCCCCGATTCTTGTCTTTTCATACTTTTTACTTCCTCTCCACCTAGATTTTTCCTCAATCGTCATTGCTGCAAAATTGTAAACAGACGTCGATGTCGAGTGATGAAAGTACGCTGTGTTATATCGCTCATGTTACTCGTTGCTCAGTTTGGTTAAACACGTTTTTTTTTTTTTTTATGTTCTCTGAGGATATAGTTGGGGAAAGTTTTTTCTGGGAAAATGAAAACATGTCTTGTAAAAGCTTGCTGAGGCAGGGAGTGCAGAGGGAAATGGTCTGCAAATGCATTATTGTCACTGCAATGGCATTATAAATGACTTCCCATGTGGAGCCTCATAACTCAGGGTAGAATGATTGGTGGAATTTAGGGCAGGGCATCAAGAGGAGAAGGGATAGTGGATGATAACAATCAAGGGGCATAAAACATTAAATGATGATTTCTTTCTTAAAACAAAAACCGTGAAAGATAGGTCAAAAGCTCAATTACAGTGAGTTTAAACACATTAACCTTGTGGGACCCACGGAAGGAGTTATTAAACCGTGAAAAGCCACACAAACTCAGAGGAACAAAGACACGCCACTAAGTCTGCTTTGAAAATGTTAAAAACCCAATTGACCCACAATTTAGTCATCAAACGGCCACTGTGCATTGCCGGGACTATCTGCATTACAGGTTAATTAACCAATCACACAGCGAGATAAGCATTTGCATAATCCAAAGGGGAAAGGTCCAAAAGCTGGAGTCTGAATCAATTTGGAGCACAGACTTAGTTAAACGCCTGTGATATTCAGTCTAATTGCCTGCTTAGAATAACAGATACAAGAGAAAACACTGCCAAACTGTTGATCGTTTGTCTCCTCCGTTTCCTTTTTTTTTTTTTTTTGCTAACAACAGTGACTCATTGTCATGGGACGTTATAAATACTACAAGGCGAATCGAATCTGGAATTGATTTTATTGGTGTCAAACTGCAGGCAGCTCCTTCTTTGCCACTGAGAATTAAATGCCCAGCATATAAAGTACTAAATGACTTTACACTAAAATATGATTAACGGCTTTCTGTAACTTAAGGGATTGTTCATGATAGACTTAAAATATCAACATCTAAAGTAAATACAAAAATACATAGATGAAAATAATAATATGAAACATTATTATTTATAAAACCTCAAAACTGCATATTAAAAACAACATTTATTTTAGACTGTGTCGATTCTTCTTTTTTTAACGTTGGCCATATATATAGGTATTTGTATACTTCCAATAATTTGCATATTTATTTAGATTTGTTTATAAGTTTAAACAAACTAATTAATTATTTGGTTATTATTTATTCTTTGAACGTTCACTCAAATCTATATTCAGTGAATATTAAAATAAAGCAGAAAGATTTTATTCAACCTGCTTAAACGAATGAATAATTTTCTAAAAACAAAAATTCAATTTATTTATTTATTTTGGGAGCATTTATAGGCTCAGACATTCTGTGTGTTTTGCTATTCATAGGTTTTTGTATGAACTTGGCATTTGTGGCATTTTCAGTTCTGCACAATTATATAATCAACTTTAGGTTTACCCAAAATAAACATTAAAATATGACAATTTTGATGATAACACATCCCAATGTGTATGTTGTGTGTTCCTGTTTTTAGTTATCTTAATCGCCTTATAATCTAGCTGTTTTTTGTTATTTTTCTTTCGCCACTATTCCTCTTGATTGTTCTTTTGGTTGCAATTTTGTTTTGATTTGTAAAAAAACAAAAAATAAGAAATTTTAATCGGTATGCCTATTGTATGACTGTCTATTGTTGTCGTTGTTATTCATTGTTGTCAGCACTCTTTGTTAAGAAATCAGGTCTCTCTTATAAATGAGTCCCCGAGGATCAATGGGATTAACCTGTATAAATAAAGTTTGAATGAATGAAAATAAATAAATAAATAAATAAATAAAATATATAAAGTGCTATGTGTTGTCATCATTGTGTGTTCCCATACAATGGCAAAATTGGTTCTCTGCATTTAACTCATCACATGTGAGGTACACCCAGGTGGAGCAGTGGACGGCTAGGTAGGTGCCCAGGGAGCAATTAGGGATCGGGTGGCTTGCTCAGGGACACCACAACGTGGGAATGGCGGTGAGTCGAATCCCGACTTTCTGCTCCCAGGTTGTCTGCCCTACCTCTACCCCATCTGAACTACTACTTTTTGTCCCGCTCCCCTCAGGAAGGAGGTTGGGGAGCATTAAGTGTAGAACCACTAGAGTGAGGAACAGCTTCTACCCTGAGGCTGTTAGACTCATGAATCTCTAACCAGGATGATCACTGAAAAATCACATTGCTGCTGATCTGTTTCATGTTGCTGCTGATCTGTTTCATGCTGCTGATCTGTTTCATGCTGCTGTGTTTATTCGTGCTCATCTGCTCACACAGACTCATGTCTGTGCTGCTGTTAGGCATATTGTTTTTTATGCTACTAGTGCTTAGTGTATTTTTATTAACGCCTTTCTTAGTTCATATCTTAGATCACATTACTATTTCTTTTACATTTTATACCTTTGTTGGATGTAACTGAGACGCTGTGTACACAATTTTGTTCCACCTCATGTAGTGTGAATGACAAATAAAGAACCTTGAATCCATGAAATCCTTGAATCTTGAATATATATATATATATTTATACCTGTGTGTGAGAACAAATACCCCCCCCCCCCCCCCAACGCATACACACAAGGACAAAAAGCATAAAATTAGCTTGATTTTTAAAATTTGCTGCTTTTTTTTTTTTCTAGTTTTCTGAACTGTTGTGGTCTACCAACCCCCCCCCCCCCCCCTGCCTTTTTGTTTTCTCCCCCAGCCACCCCCTTATTTCACACCTCTGGGCCACTGCACCCACATGACAAAACTTGATGACAAAAATCCTCCTGACACCTGGGCTCTAATTGCCACTACACGTGCATCCCTAACAGTCGACGGCACGTTTGTGGATTTGGCTCATTAGCAAAAAGCTGACCCACTGAACTGGGTCAGTGAAGATCCACTTCAGGGACCAAAACAGACCAATGAGGCAGATGACTGTTTGGCTGACATGTTCCTCAGTGGACACATCAAGAGTACATCATTGTGTGTTCCCTCGTCTCAGACTTTACTGACAGCCTGAACATCAGTGTCTAAAGTCAATAGGGAGTAACGACTACATGGAAAAGCTGAGACCAGTAAGACGGTCCAGAAGAAGACAGATGTGTGACTGATGCTATTTGATCCGTGCAAATAAAGGCAAATTAAGAACAAATTTAAGGAGTTTATGTTGCAGACTTCTTCATCTTCTTCTTTTGTAAATGATGGCAACAAACAAACACAAAATGGGTCCAAGAATTATTTTGAGCCTTCAAGGTAAATACAATTCTCCATGCATATCATCGCTCACTTGCATACATGAAATTAAGTAAGAACCCTGGAAGGCCAAAAGCAGTGCATTTATTCATGTTTATGTTTTATTGATGTGAGCAAAGAGAGCTTTGCCTCGGGAAAGTCAACCAATCATTTTTTTTAGATTGGCTCTCACACTTAAAGTAGTTAGGTTTAGTCCTTTTTTACCCCTACACTTTATTCCGTAAGTTTTCTTTCACCACATTGCTTCCTCTTTTTATCTCTCAATCTCTTAAAACTTTGTTCAGTTTAGAGCAGACTCTTTTTTTGTTCTGATTCTCTTTTGATAACATAAAAAGGCGTAGCAGAACCGGTGCTGTACGGGCACGCAAATATTTTATCCCTTGCAGATAGCAAACTGGACATCCGACATGGCAATAAAGGTGTTGCTACTCTAATATTATTGTGATGTATTGTGTCAGCTCAAAGTAAATGTCTCTCTTCCCCGCACAGAACAACACGTTCTACTTTCCCAAGTGTCGAGACATGCAGCAGTCACACTGCTGGGCCAAATCACGTCTTCACAAATTCCATATCAATCAATTTCTTGATAAAAAAAAAGAAAGAAGTGTTGAAATATAAAAGGTGTTTCAGTAGGACGTGAGAGGCATCCTAACAATATGATGGTGGGCAGAAGATTTTCCACACGGCTCGCAATTTAGGGATGAATCATCTCTGTATTGTACCGCAATATGGCTATTAATAAAATGAAACTGACTCCTGCCACACATCAGAACAGCAATACGATGCTTTCAAGCACCAGGCTTCAAACAGAGCCTGTTGCTTATTCAGTCTTCAGTAAAACATCATTAGGACGGCACCCCTCTTATATGGTTTCTGTTTAATTGGGTAGTCAAGGAGGAAAAAAGGCGCCCCTACAATCTAAACATCACACCTCCAGAACACTGCTTTTCTCTCTGCTCAGGAATAACAAAAATCACAGGAAGAGGGAGAAACCTTAGAGATTGGAAGAAAAAAAAAAAACACTTTTATGTAGCTCTAGCAGTGTTTTTGAACATAACCGGCGGGGACAACGGGAGCAGATAAATTAATTTCCAAGGGACTGCCAAAGTTGATGGCAGTGAACAATGAAAGGCTCCTTGCAATAAAACAGCTAATGGCTGATTCTAAGGAAATGGATTGAAACTCACTGCATTTCTGATTCGCTTACCTTCAACCTGCGAAAGGTTCATTGCTACACAC